GGGATCAGGTAGAAGGATGCTTGGTATCCTCTAATGTGCCTCTTAGAACTTCTATATGCAGTTTGGTTTTTTCTGTATTAACTTGACATAATCTTACATAAAAGTTTCCTGTATTAGCTCGACATAAGATTTGGAAAGACTGAAAGGATTCAAACTTCTCATGAATAAAGAACTGAGGTGCTGGCTAAAAAGAAAGTTAATGTTTAGTTAATAATGAGGAATGAAGTCATGAATATTAACCACAGCTTCATGACTAGTTGCCATTATGAAGATTATGATAAATACTCATATTTCCTTTCCTGTTCTGTTATGCATATCTTTATACATAAGCATTAAACGCTTTCTTCTTTCTCTCTCACTTTTCTCTACTATTTTGTACAAGGCCTGTAACCATTTTATACAAAAGGTTACATTTCTAATATACATCTTAGATTGTAAGATATTTTTCTGTGATTATAATTAAACTAGAAGAGGAATAAATATCCTTCAGAAATGGATACTGAGAGAGCACTTTTGGTCTCCTGTTTTGGTTAGATGACTTAAAGTCTTAATTTCCTCAACAGAAAATTCTTCTAATATGAGTATTTTTGGGAACTTAACCCTCGTGTTTGGGGAGGAACTATGGCAATATGATTTCTTTTATACTGTCTAAAAATACTTTTTTAAAAAAGAAGGTAACAGTCTGGCGGCAAGATAGAGTGAAGGCTCTGAGGTCAGATGCAGCAGAATTTGAATTCTGATTTGGGTGATTAAGGCCGTAAGATTTGAGCAATGACCAAAGCCTCTGTGCCTTGATTCTGAGGGCTGGAGAATGAATATCATGAAAGATATCTTCTAGAGTTGATCTGAGAATTAGATCAAATGAGACGATGGTGTAGACCTTGGAAAAGCACAGGGCCTGGTAGCTAGGCCAGGCTCTGAGAGGGCTGTTCAAGGACAGAAGAGCAAAGACAAAGAAACTCCACGGAACTCACTTTCCCACCAGGGAGTGAAGCGCTGGGTCATGCTCCAGCCTGAGTGGCTCCCGCCTGAGGCCGTCCTCACCCTCCCGTAATAAGGTTCCTGTATGTCTGAGGTTTCATTGGTAAGGTCACAAAAGAGTTCTTGAATACCCCAGCAGTCTTCCTTACTTTTCCATTGTTTCTCTCCATACCTGCAGAAGGGAAAAGACAAAGATCTGAATTTCTTTTTTCTATCGATGGACTCTTCAGTTTTTTTTAGTCTATTAATTCTTTAGACTGATTGAAACCTGTCCTCTAATATCAGTACCACTGTGAAAGCTTATGGCTACTCTTAAACATCTTTTAAGAAATCCTTCTTTTTAGCTGTCTTAGTCTGTTTTCCATTGCTATAGCTGAATACCTGAAACTGGGTGAGTTATAAAGAAAAGAAATTTATTTCATACAGTTCTGGAGGCTGGGAAGTCTGAGGTTTAGCGGCTGAATCTGGTGAGGGCCTTCTTGCTGGTGAAGACTCTCTGTAGAGTCCTGAGGTGGCGTAGGCTTCACATGGCGAGGGGGCTTATGAGAGATGGCCAAACTGGCTTTTTATTAAATATATCAGACTCGCTTTTGTGATAATTAACCCACTCCCTCAATAACACATTAATGTGTTAACCCTGAATGGATTAATCCATTCATGAGAGTAGAGCCCTCATGACCCAGTCACCTCCCAAAGGTCCCGTCTCTCAACATTGCTGCATTGGGGACCAAGTTTCCAACACAGGAATTTTGTCGTTGTTGTTGTTATTGTTGAGACAGGGTCTTGCTCTCTTGCCCTGGATCTATTGCAGTGGCATCATCATAGCTCACTGCAACCTCAGACTCCTGGGCTCAAGCAATCCTCCTGCCTCAGCCTCCCAAGTAGCTGGGACTATGCCCACCATACCCAGCTGATTTTTCTATTTTTTTTTGGTAGATATGGGGTTTCACTCAGGCTGATTTTCAACTCCTAAGCTCAAGTGACCCTCCCACCGTGGCCTCTCAGAGTGCTAGGATTATAGGCATGAGCCACCGCACCTGGCCTCAACACATGAACTTTTGGGGGACACATTCAAACCACAGGATTAATCAAAGTGCTGTCTTGCTGAAAGATGAACAACCTTGACACCTTCTGTGTCAATAACATAAAGGTTTTTATATTTTTAAGGCTTAGCAGTGTTTCTTCTGGTGTGTGGACCAACTTCCATTTTTGAGTACTTGCTCTCCACATCCTTAACGCTTCTGAGGTTTCAACTTTGTGGCTTTTCTCCACTTCTCATCAGCTTGCTATTGAGTAATGTGGCCGATTCTGAGAAGTCGTTACCACTTTTCATCTCAGGTAATGCTTACCCGACACACATGATTAATCTCTTTATTGAAAATTGAGAGGAAGTTGTAGTGAGCAGGATATAGCGACTCCTGTAATTAGAGGCTGGGAGAGAGGGAAGGAAACCCATGCAAAAATGTAGTGAGATGAAGAGGCAGGTTGGTTGACTCAGCCTGAGACCACAAGATGATGAAACAGCCAAAGGAAAGATTAAAGCCTCACTTCCTTACCAGTCAATCCAGACACATACAATAAGGTAATGGTGTGGAACAGAGCAGAAATCAGAGGCTGAGGAGAAAGATTGCCCAAAATATTTGTTGAAGGACTTGAAATCTAACTTTATAGCCATACAATGAGGAATATTGCTGGTATCTGTACTCTGTAATCTACATGACAGTAGTTTCATCATGTCAGAGTTAAAGTGGCCCAGGTGCAGTGACTCACGCCTGTAATCCCAGCACTCTGGGGGGCTGAGGCAGGAGAGTTGCTTGAGCTTTGGAGTTTGAGACCAGCCTGAGCAAGAGTGAGACCCCATCTCTACCAAAAAGAAAAGGGGAAAAAAAGAGAGAGAGAGAAAAAGGAGTTAAAGCAAACCAACAACATATATTGAGCATAATTTGAGTTTTTTAATTGTTATTTATTGATGAAATATCATCTTTAATTTAACTGTAATGACTGACTTCTTTTTTAATATGATTCCTCATTTTTTGTCCTAACCCAAATGGGACAGATATTAACAGTATATCCCATGAACTGGATACAATCAAGGAGAAAATTTTCAAAATTATAATCTGCCTTCTGCTACCTTAGAGAGAAATACCTTAGAGACAGGAATGAATCCAGGTATTCTGGGGTCTGAAATTTATACAATCTTGTGTCTTAGCTCCTTCTATATTTCTTTTTTTTTTTGAGACAGTCTCACTCTGTTGCCCGGGCTAGAGTGCCGTGGCGACAACTTAGCTCACAGCAACCTCAAACTCCTGGGCTCAAGTGATCCCCCTGCCTCAGCCCTCCCTACTAGCTGGGACTACAGGCATGCACCACCATGCCTAGCTAATTTTTTCTGTGTATATTTTAGTTGTCCAGCTAATTTCTTTCTTTCTTTCTTTTTTTTTTTTTAGTAGAGATGGGGTCTCACTCTTTCTCTGGCTGGTCTCGAACTCCTGAGCTCAAACGATCCACCCGCCTCAGCTTCCTAGAGTGCTAGGATTATAGGCGTGAGCCACCACACCTGGCCTCATTCAGTATTTCTATAACAGAGTACGTGAGGCTGGGTAATTTATAAAAAAAAAGGCTATTTAGCTCATGTTCCGCAGGCTGTACAAGAAGCATGGTGCTGGCATCTGCTTGGCTTCTGATGAGAGTTTTTCATCCTGTGTCATATTATAGTGGAAAAAGTCAAAGGGGAAGTGGACATGTGTGAAGAGGCAAAACTGAAGGGGCGTCCTGGCTTTACTAACAACCCATGCTCGTGGGAACACTCCCCTGGAAACGAATCCAGCCTCCCAAGAGCCAGAACTCACTCACTTTGGCAAAACTGGCACCAAACCATTCATGAGGGATCTACCCCCATGACCCAAACACCTCCCATCAGGTCCCACCTCCCAACACTGCCACACTGAGGACCAAATTTCAACATGAGTTTTAGTGAGGACAAACTTAAGCCATAGCAACTTTAAGAAAAAGAATTATATGCTGGGTATGGTGCCTCACACCTGTAATCCCAGCACTTTGGGAGGCTGGGGCAGGAGGATTGCTTGAGTCCAGGAGTTCAAAGCTGAAGTGAGCTATGACTGGGCTCCTGCACTCCAGCCTGGGTGACAGAGAAAGACCCTGTCTCTAAAAAAACAAAAAAATTTACAAATGTAAAATTCTTCCATAGGGCCCTGAAGTTTAATCTTCACTAACTTCATGGTAAAATAGCTTCTAATATGCTTTTTACTTTGGACCACAAACAGATCCACTTTCAACCTATTTATACAGCCTAAAGGGAAGTATTAAAAAAGTACTGAAAGGATGGCATTGCTAGTAAAGCATCTAACAGGAAAAAAATCTGCACACAACTGCAGCTTTGTTAGGTTAACCACCTGTGACTTAACTTGTTTTTTTGTTTTTTTTTAAAGAACTTGTTTTACAGAACTGGAACAGCACTAAGCAGACAGAAAAGGGCATGTAGGCCTCCTCCACATCTACCAGACCACATTCTGAGAAGTCTGATAAAGCCAGTCCAGCAGAGAAGAAAAACTACAATCATCTCCTGTTATCATTTTGCAACAATAATAACTCTATCCTTTATCTCAATAAAAGTCCAAGCCACTCATCCTCAGGGCCACAATTCCTTCTTTCTTTCTTTCTTTCTTTCTTTCTTTCTTTCTTTCTTTCTTTCTTTCTTTCTTTCTTTCATGCCATGCCCTTTTCTTCCTTGGAAAGTAAAATAAACTTCTTGTTTCAAAACCTATCCTAATCTTTGAGTTGAGAATTCTTTCTCATCCCATGCTACACGCTCCCTCCGCCAAGTACCAATCTCTACTTCCTATGTACTGAAAGCATCTCCAGCTATGTGCAAATCTATTTTTGTAATGGAGAAATCCTTATTGTAAATATTTATTAAGTTTTACAGTTGCTACACAAACTATGTTGAAAGACGCAGCAGCAGTTAAAGACTGAAAATCTTCTGGGGATGTTTCTTCTCAAATTAATTAATAGGAAAATCTGACCTAGGTCCTACCCCATGATATAAGGACATGGATGAATTTATGGAATAAAAATTACTCTTTTATCCCATATCTGCATCTGATTTTCTGAACTTCTAGTGAAAACCCACGAAAGCTAAACTGTATTATCTTCTGTCTCATGCTTAGCCAGCATTTCAAACTATGTCAGAGGAGGAAGAGCCTCAAAAAATCCCAGGAAATGTGTGAGTGGACAAACCTGTCATTTTCAAATCAGGAGTGTCTGTTTCCAGGAAAGGAGTAGATTATATCTGAGTTGATTATATCAGGATTAGCTTGAAGATCACACAAGAGGAACATGCAGCAGCGTGTTCCAGTTTGTGTTCAGGTTTATAGGAGCCATTAAGTTTTGAAAAGAATCTTCAAAATAGTAAATCCACTCCAGCAAATGACTTTTAAATTAAAATATATTTTATATACTCACTTCAGTGTTTGCCACAACTTCTTTTTCAGCTATCAGTAGTTCACCTTAATTTGTAACTGGCTCTATGAACAAATTTCAATGACCCCTGTATGTTTTTTTATAATCTCCTTCCTTAACTAACTATGTGAGCTTTTTGAGTTGTTTCCCAGAAAAAAGACACAGCATTTGAGATTCTCAAGGCCCCTGAGCAGGATTCCTGATACCAAGAATCACCATACCCCATACCTGCCCCAAGGCTTGTGGCTCCTCCTTAAAAAGCCCCATGATCTCTGTTGGCAGGGGAGTTAGATTTGAAATTATTTCTTCTGTTCTCCCAACAGATATCTTCTGCATTAACATTCCTTTCTTCCTTGGCAATCCTCGTTGTCTCAATAATTGGATCTTTGTTAGGCGAGCAACTGGATCTAGGCTGAAACCCCCTTGCGGTTTCGATAGCAAGTTGAGTACTTGTCATGTGTCAAACAGGTGGCTTCCAGCATTCATTTGACAAATCTGTACTGAGATCCCGCCATGCACCAGGCACTGCAGTGGAGGCCAAGGCAGACCTGTAAGTCTCTGTGCTGGGTGTAGTAGGGCTGAAGTGTCTGCCCGACAGGCTGCACATCATCGTGCATTTTGAGTCCCCAGGCAGACTTCATGGGAGACAGGTCACTTCTGTCCCAACCTCTGCTTCTTCTCAACCTCTCTAAAACTCAAAAAAAAGCTCAGATCCTAATACTCCATTGTGTTCTAGAACACGCTATCCCAGGGGCCATCTCCATCAGCTGCAGGAAGCTCAGTGTACTTACATTTTGTACTGCACAAAGTAGACACTGCTCTTGCCCATCAGCGCCCTCCCAGGCTGCCAGTGCAAAATGTTGTGAAAATTTTGGGACTGAAATTGTACCATCTGAGGCTTCAGAGACCCATGGGCTGGCTGGGCTCCTAAAACAATAAGAGAAAGAAAAACACTGGACACTGATATGAGCACCACTGTCATTAGCAGTAGTTTGCAATGGAATTCCTGCATCAGGATTCCCTAAATAGCTGCTCTAAGTGGAGGTGGAGGTGGAGCTCAGAAATCAACACTTTGGATCTTCAATGCAATGATTTTGATGCATGCTGAAGTCTTAAAATAATGTGTTCCAGATTATAAAAAGGTACTTATACCCTCCCACCCTATGCCCCAAGCTGGAGAAGAGGTGAATAGCAGTGACAAAATATTGTCCTTATTTCATTCCCAAATTGTGACAGGATATAATGACTGAGACACAAGACCCACACTAAGGCCACTCATCTGTCTTCCTGGGAGCCACCGTATTAGCGCTACTCTGAACAAAACTTGCCTGGGATCAATTCTCACTCCAAGACCTCAGCCCAGCATTTGGCTCCTCTTTTCCCAGGTTCTTGCTCGGTCTCTGGGCCCTGCCTCCAGGTAGGTCTGCCTTTACTGTCCCACTCCTGAATGGCTGTTCTTACCTGCCTGCATCCTGGCTCCAAGCACCCGAGCATCATCGCTCAGATGAACCGGCCCAGGCTAAGGAGGGAAACTGACCTCTGTCTACGGATTTCTTCTCCCATTTTTGTAATAACACCACTATCACCATCCCCAACAGTAATAAAAACTCACTCTGCACCGGGCACTGAAGGGGTTTTTATCTGCATTAATTTATTTAATTTGCCCAGCTCTTCTATGCGACAGGTGCTATACCTTTTGTAGACTAAAAAACTCAGCTTTGGAGACGTGAAGAAACTTGCCCAGCAGCAAAAGGTAAAGCTGATTTTGTAGACTTTGTACCTAGGTAGTATGACTTCAGAGCCTGCCTCTTATTGATGGCAGAAAACCAAGAGCAAAGCTCTGGGAGAGGCAGAGCAGTTCGAGGCTGAGGATATTCTCTCTCCTCCTCCTTCTTCCTCCTCCAGTTCCTTCCCTGAACACTGACCATACATGAACATTAACTAACATCAGGGACTGTGCTCAAAGCTTTACAACTTATTTAATTCCCACAACCACTAGGTAAGGTAGGTATTTTATTCCTGCACTTTACAGATGGGGAAGCTGAGACTTAAAGAAGTTGTATATCTTACCCCACATGTTGTGTAGCTGCCTGGGAAGAGGCAGAGCCAGGGTAGTTTTGGTAGCCCTTGAATTCCTGCCATATTTTGCTAAATGAGTCCTTGTTGTTACCAAGGACCAAAGGCATAGTCTACTCAAATCCACACATTTCTGGAGGATGGTGGGTTGAATTGTTTTTATGTATCAGTCGCTGGACAATGGTGCTGTCTTGGGAAGTGATTCGAACCATTTACCCTGAGAGGTCCCCATCTGCTAACTTGGGATCCTAATGGCCTTGCTCAGAGGAATGCTCCACTCCCTTGAAGAGCTCCTCGTGAATACCAGCAGCAAATTCTCACGTGGTGTGTAAGATACCTCTTCTGTGCCAAGCACTTGTCTAAGCACTTGGCCTATACAGACTCATTTCATCTTCATAGTGACCTACAATCCCCATGCTAGCAATGAGGAATTGAAGCACAGGAGTGTCATGTAAATTGCTCAAGTTCTCCTAGATAATACATGGCAGAGTTGAAATTCAGATTCTGATAGTCTGGCTTAGGAACCTGTGCTTGTAATCACTATGTTACAGTGACACTTCAAGGCTAAAGAAATGGGAGAGAGAGAGAGAGAGAGAGAGAGAGAGAGAGAGAGAGATGGATGTGCATTTGTCCTGTATGAAGTCTCTTGCACCCCCTAGAGTGCCTCCTCTTTAGCAGATATTCATTCAGTACATGTGGAGTTACTCAGGCTGCAGATGGGAACTAACCCATGCCCGTTCTGATCATTTAGTGACATAAGAAAGCTAAAATCGTTACAAAGCCCAGAAAAGTGCCAGTGCCATTTCTAACAGTCCCTTGATCAGACTCAGATGACAAAGCTGTGAGCAATGAACAAGAAATGAAGCACTTACCTAACACGCCAGTCAGGAAGACACTGACGAGGAAGCCTAGAAAGCAATGTTCGGGCATCACGGTCGTGGGTGTGACTGCTCGGGCGACTGGTGTTCCCTTCAATGAGAGGGACAGCTCAGGACAGAAGAGGAAACTATAAAATCCCCAAGCAGAACATCCCTCCTGGCTTTAACCAAAGGCAAAGGGTTCCTTGCTGCAACTACAATTTTATTTTGTTACTACATTGTATTATTTTAGGAAAATTATGAGAATCACCTCAAAAAAACATTTGCTGTAAGTCACTTTTATGTGGAAGCTTGTTTCAGTCATTGGCTGTGGAAAGGCAAGACACTGAGGATGGGTAGAGCTGAAGGGCAGGGCAGGGCAGCGATTGTGCAAGTTGCATGCAGGTGAGTGAGTGAAACGACTTGTGAGGCCTTAGGAAGAATCTGGCCGCAGGAGGCAGAGAGGCTGCCAGGGACCAGGACTTGGCGACAGGGTGATTTTGTGTATTATGCTTGGCAGTTACAGCTATCAGGGCCCCTGGCAGTGGGTCAAAGCAGGTGGAGTCTCGTGAATTCCTTTTTCCTCCCTTTTTGGTAGCTCCCCAATTAATCTCCCTGGTAACCTCCCTTCCCACCGCCTGTGGCTCTCTGCAGTGCTCCCTGCAGCGCTTCAGCCTCCCCCCTCCGTGGTGGTCCCGGGCCCCACTCAACTATGCCTCTTTCTTTCCATTCCCACCCCCCAGGTTCTCGCAATGTGGATAAAGTTATTGAGCCTGTCAAACCAAATGGTTCCTTAAAAGGAGGAATGTAGAAGACACTCATTTTGAGCAACATTAGACCTTTTTCATACCTTCTTTAAAATCAGATTGCACTAGGTCATCTCTTCTTTGTCCATGACTCATTATATTGTTTTTCTTACCAATTTTTTTTTTACTATAATACATGTTTTTAGAAGCACCCGGGGCCGGGCGCGGTGGCTCACGCCTGTAATCCTAGCTCTCTGGGAGGCTGAGGTGGGCGGATTGTTTGAGCTCAGGAGTTCGAGACCAGCCTGA